TTGCCGTAGAGCTGCCAAAGAAACACCGTCTCTGGAGATTGAATGACCGGCATGGCTTAGCCATGCATCCAACGCTCGAGCACTAAACGGTTAATTGGGTCAACTGGAAACAGCGGGGAAAAAACGCCGACCCGCGACCCCAAGAAAAACAGGAAAACGAAAAAGAAGGAGAAAAGGCAGCTGATGGTCTCAGGGCAAGGTTCAAGCGCGATGAGCAGCAGGCCTTTTGTGCCAGTCGTGTCACAAGGTGCTAACTTCCTTCCTCGTGAGCGCTACAGCCGCTCCTCTCACTTGCCATACATGTACAGAACCGTGATAAACTGCAGGAGTGCTCGCTTCGATCCCTTGCTCACTAAGGAGATTGGGGCCCCCCACTTGACTGCAATGGTTTTCAGCTGCTCCACCGTGTCCGATGCCAGCTCCTGCTTGATGAGATCGAGGTAGGTCGCTTGGTTGGACAGCGTGCGTTCGTGTAGCCATGCCTTGAAGACCTTGTCCGTGAGGCTGGTGGGAAGTGGTACCTGTTGACCTTTGGGATTTCCCTGACGTAGAAGTTCTGAGTCTAGTGTGATGTCCGGGGCAGTCTCCGGGGTCTTTCGCTTTGCCGGTCGTCGCTTGGGGGCTGGATCAGCCTCCGGGGATGGAACTGGTAGGGGGGGTCCCTGAGCATCTGAGTTCGCCGCATTGATGTAGAGGGACTGGTCAGAGCGGCCGGGACGAGGATGGCTGCTTCTTATCCGGTGTAAGAGTGATGCCCTTGTTCTTGTAGCGCTCCAGCTGTTGTTCCAATTCGGCAATTTTGTGGCGAGTGAGGTTCTCCTGCTTGGCGGGCTGCAGCGACTCTATGAGATCCACGATTTTGAGCGCAAGTGGCTCCATAAACTGCATAGCCTCGTTGCGCTTATCCGGCGCATTGTCCGCGTGGAGAGAGCGAGCTGTCCTGTCGATGTCGACCTCCCTGCCTCTCAATGCTTTGAGAATGGATGTCAATAAGACCGCCTCGGCTATCGTCTGAGCCATGACTGGTGTGCTGTGTCGCCCGTTTGACAGCGCTCGTAATGCGTGATCTTCTGCTCCTCCTCGAAGAAGTCGTGTCAATGGAAGATCCAGGATAGCTGTTCCTGCGAGCCCGACCCTTCTGGACCACTGAGTGGGTTGAACGTGACGGTACAGCTGCAGGCCGCGGACTTCCGTCTTGTCGAGGAAGATGTCATCAGATTGGAAGGTGCTAGGGAGTAGCTGCGAATATCGAGGCTGAGTGTACTGCGTTGCATAGAGGTGCCCGAACTGGAGGTTGAACTGGCGGTGCTGGTGGTGGGGGACGAGGACCTGTCTGCATGTGGTTTGTCCCACCACCGTGATAGTTGTAGAACTGACCGGGAGGTTGAGGACGAAACTGGTGAGCCATATGTGGAGGCCGAAGAGGATTGACACGAGGTGCTGCTTCCTCTCAAGGTTGATGCTGCAAGGATTCCATCCGATTGGAGCTCAAATAGACCTCCTGCTGGGACTGCGGTACTGACCATGATGGAAGGTACGAGGATCCCGGATGCGAAGAGGAGGAGGGTGTCGATGTCGCCGGCCATGAATAGTTCCACTGAGAAGCCATCACGAGATGGGAGTTCGTCGTCAACACTTGCTGATAGATTAAAAGCTAGGGATACGGCACAAATTGTCGAAACGGCACCCGATTTGCAATCGGACCCAGGGCTTTTTGAAACCGGGAAACAGCAGTTGTCACAACGAATCATCAAAAAGCGAAAGAACCCGCAGTAAGACCAACAAGAAAGTCATGCTTGAATAAGGCTCTAGCGTGCACTTTTTGTCGCAAAATATCGTCGGTGGTCGAAGACGGCAGTGTGGCGAAGGATGCTCTTATTCGCAATGAAACATCATTAATTGTCATTGGTTGCAGCAGCTCTTGGTGCAGGTTCACGAGCGGAGGACACCTGTGGGCGGCTTCGTATCGGTAGGCCATGCGAGTCCAACGATCTGGCTTGCTTCTGGAATCACCATCCAACACTTGCCCGACACATAGTGGATGACGTCAGGACGTTCACTGGAATCCAGGGCCTCAATGCAAGCTTGCTCTCCTCCCGATCGAATCGGCTGACAGGTACCGACAGCGCGTCCAAACAGCAGCAATTGGGCCATGTTGAAAGACATACTCCAGTTCTGGCTCATCGTGCGGGCAATTTCTTCAGCATCATAGTCGGCGTGTCCAGTGATCTTCCAGCCTTGGGCGTAAAAGGCTGGGCACTCCGAGGAGTGCTGCCTGGAAGGATGGATCTGTCGGCTCCGCAGTATGCCTCTAGTGCCGCCGACACTGGATGCGTGAGTCCAGAGCAGCATGGGTCGCGTCTTCGTTGGTTCTTTGAGCCGAACTGTAGCGCCAAGGTAGGGGATGGTCAGCATGAACCAGTGCGGAGTGATCTTATAAAAGTGATGTTCCGGATTGACCTTTGCATAGTTCAGGGTGGAGTGCTGAGACGGTATGCCGGCTGCATTCAAGGTAGCGGCCACATAGTCCATCTGCTCCTGATTGACCGGGATCCCTTCGCGGACGTACGGTGCGGCAAGCACCTGAAGTTCGTTCCTCCACGGGTCGGACTCCGGGTTGGGAAGCAGGATCAGCGGTGGGTGCGCCTGCGGATTTGGGCGTAGTTGCATGCTCCTCGAGGACGACCCCACATCTGGGTGAGCACCTGTGGCCTTTCAGGCTGGAGCCGATGGGGCACTGCTTCTGCTGCGCGGAAGTGGAGATCGATTGCTTCTCGGTCGTCGGGATGAAGCATTAGTTGCCGTAGGCGCTCGGGATGAGGACTTGGCTGCTGTGGGTGCCGACACGGCAAGAGCCGGTGCTGCCGTGGTGGAATTATCCGATGTTGTGTCCCTTCGGGAGATCGGTGGTGGCGTCCTGGAGCGAGCTCGACCTCGCCGCTGTGGGGGCACTGACTTGGAGTAGGGGGAAGTGTTGTGGGAACGTGACCGCTCTCCCTCCGTTGCGTGGCGTGATCTGGCTGGTGGGTTGGGCGGTGGAAGCATCTGACCTGATGGAGTTGCCGTAGGGATCGGTGCGATAGGGGTCGGTGCTGTGGTCATAGGTGGGCATGCTGTAGTTGAAGCCGCTGGGGTAGCCGGCGTCATTGGAGTCATTGGAGTCATCGGTGTGGCTGGGCGTGCTTTCACCAGGATTTGCGGCAGAGGGCCAGCTACTGATGCAGGCCAGACAGGCAGGGTAGGGATCGATGCCGAGGCGTCGCCGGGAGCAAGAGCTGGACCTGCAGGTTTGGTAGCCCTTGAGGTGCTGGACACCGCGCCAGAGATGCTAGAGGTTGGTGTCACAAGCGCACTCCTGCTCGGTGATGCTGTCTGGTGCACTGGTGACCTGGGCGGCGTAGGGCCCGCAGTGTTCCTGGATGCCTTGGTCATGGGGCCTGCTGAGTTCGACATCGGGCCTGCGTTGGGCCGTGGCATCTGCTGCCGGCAATTGCGAGCCAATAACCAACTGGCGGCGTCATGGATTCATGCCTGATATGTCGGGTAGTCTGGCAGCCCGTCAAGTGGGGAAGTCAAACGTGACGCAATCTGGGGTGCTGAAACGTCCGGGACATGTCCAAGCCCGTGGTGAATGGTCAACGGCGAAAAGTCATCAGGGGGATTTCCAGGGTCGCGAGCGACAAGGTCCGGTGGTTGTCTGAAGAAGGTGTCGGTACATGGGTCATAACAGGTGCCCGCAAAGGGGATCAAGACACTGACCGAAGCCCGGACGCAGTGCCTAAACACACTTGATATGAGACGGCAAAACTGACAATGCGCACCACCATGCAGGCACAGGCTGTTTGAAGGTCTCCGGCAGGGCAATGGAGTTTCGGCTTCACACATGCCTGAACATTGTTCGCCTAGATTGGCCCTCCTCTTCAGGGACGCCAACGGCCAATCTGGCTACTGCATGCCAGGACATGAATGAAGGTGGCGTCCGACTCCAATAAAGAGAGAAAGGCACGACCGCAAAACCCCTTAGGAACAGGGGGGCCACACACACACACACACACGCACGCACGCACGCACGCACGCACGCACGCACGCACGCACGCACGCACGCACGCACGCACGCACGCACGCACGCACGCACACACGCGCGCACGCGCGCACGCGCGCACGCGCGCACGCACACACGCGCACACGCGCGCACGCACACGCACACGCACACGCGCACGCACACACGCGCACACACACACACACACGCACATACACGCACATACACTTACACCACACACCACACACCACACGACACACGACACAGGACACACAACACACGCAGACAGACACACACACACAAACAGACACACACACACACACACAAACAGACACACACACACACATACACACACCACACTCCACACGACACACAACACACGACGCACAGCACACACACACACAAACACACACACACAGACACACACAGACAGACACACACACAGACACATATATATATATATACACACTTACACATGGTGGGTCTCCTGAAAATGTCCAGGTTCGACATGGGCCCGACTTATTTGGAGTCATCACGCAGATTCGCACGGATTTGTGAGGTTTGGCCCTGCTTTCGCCACCTCCCGATGTCATGGTCAAAACTCCAGGCAAATCCTTGTGGTTGCCTAAGAGCTGTTCATTTTCCTTCGGTGTCCCTCTCTATAGATTTATCCTTCGCAACCACTTCACTCACTTTTGGGCCACCGCGGGCCACCACGGACCACGGGGCCTGAGAAAGTGGCTGCATTTGTTTTGGTTGGGGTCCTGGTCGCTGACAAGAGCGGGTACCTAAGGCAGGGGTGCTCCAAGACATTTAAAAGATGACCAGAGCACAAGGCTTGAACACGGCGCTCCTTTTCTCTTTTTGCCGATTAGATGTCCATTGCCCATTTGCGGAGCGACCTGGTAGGGTGCCATTCAGTTTTGTATGCCGCGAGTCCATGCAAGCGATGAGAAACGAGGTGAAGGACTCGCCCATCTCGATGGTGCTCAACGACTCGTCTCGGCTTCAGACTGGGAAGGCGTGTTGGTGGCATTTCCTCTTTGGTACCTACCGTATCTGGAGTTTCCTTTGCTGTTAAGCATAAGAGTGCAGCTTTGACAACTCGGTCTTCGATGGATGCACTGGTTCACGAAGTGCAGTTGTCTCGTTGGTTGCAGGTTGTGCAGAGCCTTGATTCTTGCAGCAGCCTTTTTTGCGTGACCATCAACAGCCAACTTTGTGACCAACACAGGGTCAAAGCCGTTGAGCGTTTTGCTAGCAGCACTTTGAAGCGCTACTTGGATCATTGGTTTCGTTGGTGTGAATTTGCGGGCGCTCACAATGTATCCATTGCGGATCCGGATCCTGGCTATTTACTGGACTTCCTGCAGTTGAAGGCCACTTCTCTAGGCGCTGTCAGATCGAGATCTTCGGACATGGGGCGGGGGGGATTTTTTCAAACAAATGTAGGGCCAAGTCTTCGCTTCGAGATCTTCGGACATGGGGCAAATTGTTGTTTTTGTTCGACCAAATATAGGGCCACTTGAGGGAAGACTGACATGACATTGGGGGAAGTGGGTTGGGAGTCGGAGGTGGGATTTTGTTTTTGGGGATGCTATTGGGGAAGATTATGAAGATTACATTTTAGAGCAGTGAATTTGAGGGAGTGGAGATTTCGACCCGTGGTTGCTTCCAGTTTAGTTAACAATCCAACTAGTCCTCTTGATGCTGGGGGACGCCCCGGACCCATTTGGAGGTCTGGGAACAAGGTCAATGCCCCCAGTTGCGAATGAAACGCGGGCCGGGGCCAAAGCGATCGATTCCAGAACATGAAGGTCCCTTAAAGATTCAGCAAGTGCAGACCACGCTTATCAGCTACCCAGATGTGTTTGCACCTGAGTGACCTGTGCAACTGAACTCGCATCATCTTGAACGTATGGCAACTTAGGGATGGCCAACCCTATGAGGAGATGATGTACTTTTTGCCAGCTCCAGAAAGGGCGGTTCTTCACAGCTAGCTTTGACTGGGTACCAGCGTACACGCGTTGATCACTCTGCAGAGGCGTGCTAGAGCAACATGGTGTTTTCCATTGCCTTGCTTTTAGAGCCAAACACAGAGGTCAAACAAGCCCCATCCCATGTCACAGACGCGTCCCTTACAGGGTTGTAGGGGAGAAACACCCTCGGGTGCTTGAACTGCGACCAGGGGGAAGCTTGGGTCGTGCAGACCAGCACGGAGTGGGCTGCCGCTAGCAAGGATATGCGTGAAGAGGAGGCACGAGGAGCATGGGCTTCGGTACACATCTGACGCAATTCCACTTGTCCTTTTTTTCTTGGAGAGGTTCTCTTAAAAGATCAACCGCCCGCAAAAGGCTGCGCCTCGTTTTCCTGTGGCCACTGGGGAATAGCTATGCCCCATGATTCCCATGCGACATGGCCAACACATCCTTTGTGGTATGGCCGCACAGAATGAGGGTGTCGTAGCTTCCCCTGAACACATGTTTCCCATGGTTGCTCGGGTGCGAGCTGCAGCCCCTAGTTTATCTAGAATGGGGAATCTCAATGATCAGGGGCGGACTGGCTCTAACTGTTCTGCAAAAACTCCAGCAGGCTGCTCCAATGGGACCCGGATCCAGGGACACTGGAGTTTTGTAGAGGGATTCCCACATAGTCGTAATGGAGGGGCGCAGTACCGCTCAATGGACCTTTCCCCAGCTTCCCTTTGCCTGTAGCAAAATACTGTCGCAGGCAGGCCCACGTTTTCCCAGTTGGGTGTGGGGTCATAGAGGTTTTTACATACCACAATCCGGGTTCGTTTGGGGGTAGTGGAAATCGTCTTCGGTGCGGAAAAAAACAAACAATACAGCAATATAGCAAAGCTGCTCCGCATCGGTCCGGCTCTGTTTGGCACAAGCACATGGTCAAAAGACCGGTCCTCTTGAGGTTACGAGGATGGTCACCCCCTTAGATGTTTATACAACCGTTATGAGTCGTTGTAAGGCTTCCTATGAAGGGAGCCATGGGAGTGTGAACCACGTGATTGACACTGCATGCGACTTGGGTTTGGCGTACTTGTTGTAGACCTTCCATAGGCCACACCCCCACACCCGACAGACTTCCAGTGACCCAGCGGATCGCGACCGATCGGAGTTGACTCGAGCCACTCGGCCCGCCAGCTGTGCGGAGCTTTGCTCGCGGAGTTTGCGCGGCTGGTGGGGGAACTGCCGGCGCCGGAGCAGATGAAGGCGATCGGAGAGCATAAGACGACAGCTAGTGAGCTATATGGTTGTTTGTCTCTTTTTTGCAGGGGTTTCCAAGTTTAACATCAACGGCCAAAGAAGGTGACCTTGCTTTTGTTTGAGGCCACCATAGGCCACCAAAAGGGTACCTTGTCTGTGTGGTGGGGTTGCCTTGAATTTTTGAACGTTATCCTTTTTATCCCTCCCTGGGCTATTCAGCCTCGAAAAAGGCGGGCTCCAAAAGTCCCAGCCAGGAGGAAGGAGAAAGGGAAAGAGGTGGGGTGCTTTCCGGGTTTCAACAGGCCCTGGCATGGTGAATGAGGGTGTGTGTGTGTGTGTTTTGAGGGTAGTGGCCTTTTTTCTGGCTTGTTCTAAAGGACGCCAAAAGGGAAAGCAACCATTTTTGGGCCCTTTACGATGGACCCCTAAAGCTCGCTGCCCAAAAGTGTTCAAAACGAAACTGTGTCCACGGCAAGTTTGATTGAACTATGGTGTCAACCAGGTTTGCTTCCACGGCAACCCAGGTTGTAAAGACTTAGAACCTTTTGGAAGGGCAACTTTATGGGATCACTTTTGGTGATGTTCGCTTGGAACCCTGCAAGGTCTGCTCTTGGCCCAGTTTGGTGGGGTTTGCAATTTTTATTTTTTGTTGGACCTGAGAAATGCTTGGCTATCTCTAGCCAAACGATGCCCACCAAAGAGTCCAATTAGTCCCGCTGGTAGGATCACTTGGAAAACTTGCCCAGTGGGCTCCTTGCTACTGCTGAAAGGAGTTACGTCAATTATGTGGCACATCCTCAAAGTATCAGGATTTGTTTTGGGTTGGAATTCTGGGTAAGCCTCGAACAGGTGATTGAAGTTTGGCTCGGTTGGGAGGCTCAAACCCCCAAAACTGTTCCTTCGAACCGCCGTACAGTGGTGGTTCGTGGGCCAAGTTGGGGGCCCCGACTGGAATCCCGACCTGAAAATGCGTGCGGCTCCTTCTGGCCCTTTCTTGCGATGGGGGGTCGCAACATAGTTCGTAAGAGGAATGTGATGGGGGACCAGTAAGACAGGGTTGGGCCGGGTTGGGCAAGATAGAAGACGAGATCTGGTGAAGCAACCAGTCCATAGACCCGTTCAAAAGGGGAGCCCAAAAAGGGGGGTTGTTTAGATAGTTTCAGAAACAGATGGTTCGCTCAACCCTGTTTGGAGTCCTCATTAATCTCCCGTCGGGACCCAAAGGAATTCCCGTTGCTGCAAACAAAAAGGTCCCTTGTCCACGCAGGCCATTCACTGGCACTATGGAGATGTTGACTACCACCTCCCTGCCGGCTTTGCCCAGGACCTTGGAAACAATCCTGAGGTCATGGTCGAAAATTGGTGCCTGCCACTGCCTTCACAGCTCACAGACTTTTCTGGAATCGAAATCGATGGATTTCACCCAAGGCGATCCTTGCTTGAATCATGGTAGTCTCCTCTCAAGGAGTTCCCTTGCTTCACGTCAAGCCAAAAGTGTGCAACCACAGGCAGAGCTAAGGAAAAGGTTGCTTTTTTTCGACTCCGATTGTTCTGCACTCATAGGGAGTCTGATACCTCTCTAAAAATTCACAGAAGAAACCAAAAAAGTGGCAACCGGAGCTCAACGTTTGATCCAGAGTTTTCCCCGGAGGATCCGTCCAGGCGCCTGTGCCTCTGCGGGGACTGGTGCTACAACGGCCGTGTGGAGGGTGCCTTTCTGAGCGGCGTTCGGGCGGCCAGGGCGTACCTAAGCTGAGACGCGCGCGGCGCGCCGGGTCGGATCGCGCGCCGTGTCGGAGCGAGGTCCCTGGGAAAATGTGGGGTGGCTCGTCTTTTTTGTGAGTCGGTAACCCCCGCCCCCCCCCTCCCCCTTCATGTTTTGTGGTTTTTAGGTTGAAGCTGACGCGAGAATCGTTGCTCTCGCCAGAATTCTTTTCCAAAAGGCGAGCCACCCATTTCCCGGGAAAAGGACACCAAACTTGGCGTTGAGTCAAGTTTCCCAGAGGCCCATGGCTGGCAAATGATTTCCAACAATAGCCCCCTGAAGGTGACCGAACATACCATTGGATAGCCGTCCCAGCAAACCGTTGGTTTCTTTTGGTTGTCGTTTGGTGTTCTGGTGCAATTCGTTTTGACATCGGCAGTTGCCTGCCTCCGCGGACCAGCTTTCACCCCGCCAATTGTACAGATCAGTGGGCGAGGCCAAGGGAGAGTCAAGCTGTTACTTCCTTGCAGATTAACAAATGTGGTGTAAGGTTACTCCTATGACTAAATCTGTAAATATCCCTATCCACATTTGAGACAGATTGAAGTAAGCCTTTTTTTTTGGGGGGGGGGGGCAAAGGATGTTGTTTTCCTGGGCCCCAGTATCTATCCCGAAATATGGGAGCACCTCTGCTCGGTGCAAGTCGGTCTTCTGTAGCAATTGGCTTCCTCAGCTCACACCTTGGCGATGGGCGGAAGCTGTGAATGCGTCCAGCCCCAACACATCTTAGTGGAATTCGGAGCCCCGCTACATGGAGGGTTTGAGAAGATGGCCTTCCTTGTTGGGAGCCCTGTGATCAACCATCCCAGATCTTGTGTTTTGTTTCCACCGCAGAAGTGATGGGTGCTGCGCCGGCAGAGCGGGCAAAGCTGAGTACGAGTTTTGCCTTGTTAGGCAAAGTGTGGAAAATGAGAGTTGGGTCCTGCTTCTGGTGGGGAATAGTGGTTTAAGGACGAAGCAACCATGGGGTTGAACACTTTGATGCCAGACAGGCTTATCGTCCACAACGATGTCCCAGGTGCAAGTGGGCATGAAGCTTCTCATTGGCCCTTGGGTTGACGCCATGGTGTCAGTTCGATCGCCCACGTTTGCAGTTCCAACTCTTCAACGTGGCGGCCAGGTATACGACCTGGAGATGACGGAGAACAGCGTCCTGTTCTCCGAGGCAAAGCTCAACCCATCAAGTACTGGGTCTCAAAGTTGAAGTCGGTCCCTTTGGATTGTTTTGAGGGGAAACCTAAATGAGAGAACCTCCCCGCATGTTTAGCTCCTCCGTTTTGGGGGTCCTATTGCGACACGGCCCATGTTGGGATTGGGCGCATTGTGTGTCATGCACCCTTTTCTGTGAAAACGCAGGTGGTATGCTTTGCGGAGTGAATATTCTTCCACGTCCTGAAAACTGGACACACCCATGTGCTTTGTTCGGAGCAAAGGAGCCACCATCAATCAGACTCTGGATAGATGCAGGTTTATAGGAGACATTCCTGTTGCCAGAATAGGTGTCGCTTTCCACCCTGATCCGTTACCACAGGTTTTGGGTAGAGAGCTATACCTGGTTTGATTCTGACTCAATAAAAGAAAGACACAACAAGATGGACACCGCTGACTTTCCCAGCGCCCCTCAAACATTTACAGTCCACAGCACAGATACCCTTAGAGAGTGAAGGGACTCAAAAGAGAACAGGTCAAGCGCTAGGAAAGCGTTGGAAGGGGGGTTGCAACCTGGAAGTTCTGACTGGGGCCACTTGACTCGAAATTGCCCAAGCATCTTCGGCTGGGGTTTTGAAGACAGATCTCGGCGTCCTTGGTCGGATTCTGCGCGGCCTTGTGCTCGGAACACGTTTGTATGTCCAACACCACAGGGGGCTAAAGAGTAATGCTTAAAAAATACCCCTAAACAGTCCGAACGACACGATACAATCCACCGAAGTTATTTTGAGCTCACCGATTCGGGAGTACGAGCTCCCGGTCCGGTTGGTGCATGCCACAGCGCCACTCGTTTGCTGCACTCTATGAGCTATACACATTCGCTCTGGTCCAGCACGTGTTCAATGTATCAGCTCCAGGGGAAACCGCAGATTCTCAGATGGAGCATAGTACGCTTGCTAGAATGGAACCCACCAGAAGGTTTCTTGAAGAGGACGGTGGTCTTCCGGGACGGTTCTATGTTGGTGAGTTTTCCATCCCCGTTTTTGTTGGGATCCCCACTCATGGTGGGGTGCCCCGCCAAAAAAGAGATGTCCTTCTACCAAAGTCACTGGCCGCTTTGGCAGTTTTTCGATCCCGGCCAAGCGAAGGCATTCGCCTTTGTATCCTTCTGCCACATGCACCAGGCCGGCACATGAGCATGACTCACTCCAGATGTGCATTTGGTCTCCTGTTAAATTAAACCAACCTCAAAGAACAACACCCCAATGGGCATCAACTAATATGAATGAGCGGTTAAACCAGCCTCAAAGAAAGACACCCCAACATCACTGATATGAATGAGTGACCCCTCCTTTTGGCTATTTTGGGTCCCAAAGGCAGCCCTTAGGGCCCTGGAAGAGGGTATCATAGACTTGCCAACTTGCAGCTCTGCTTGGCCCTAGGCTCCTGATTATTAATACCTTGTGAGGAGTGTCGGCGATCCCACATAGCCGTATAGGGAAGAATGACCTCCATGTTGGTTGGCGACAGGAGGGGGCATTCAATGAGCATCAGCGTGCCTTCGCATACAAACTTCTCTCTGCGACCATGCCAATTGCAAGATTCCTTCTACAGTACATCAAATCATGCGAAGTTCATTTTGCTAATTTGTTTTTACCAATTGTTTTGCTTTCAAATATGCTCCAGTCAAGGGTGCGCACATGGGTTATGCGCACGCTTTGGTACCAAAAAGACTCGCCCAAACAACTCAGTTGTGTTGCTGGTTTTTGTCTGCTTGGTCCCCTGCAAAGAGACAAACCAACCTCGGCAACTGACCACGGCCAATTGCTCAATATGTTGCCATTTCCAATCTTGTGAATTCTGAATGGGCGTGATTGGTGACCACTGTGTTCTGGGGCACCTGAGTCTGCCATGTCAGCCACAATCAAAGCTCAATTGGCATGAAGGTTCGGGGACAGCCCCAGCCAGAGTTAGCCGCGGCCGCCTTTTGAGTTCTTTACCTTGGTTTGATCGGTGTTGTTCGTCAGGTGGACTTCATCGCAGAGTCTGGGGTCTACAAGGGAGTCAAGTCCTCAAGCGATGCATCCGGTTGAAACACATCGGTCAACAGATTCCTATCGGGTTGGTAGGGACGGTCAATAAACCCCTTGAAGATTCTAGGGAACCAATGGATTCCTAAGAGAGTCATACCTCATTAATGACCCATCGGTACTCATTCCCCGGATGAGTTATACCGCTACTTAGACCTATCGACTGCCAACTTCAGGATTGGAGAATTTACTTCGGGCAAGCTACCTTTGGTGATTTAGGAACGTGCCTTGCCAAGCTGTCTTTTTTGTCATGGAATCGAGAGATATGATCCGCAGTACTCTTGTCTCTTCCGCTCCTTGATGCATTGGGAATCAAGTTTGGAGAAAATGGCCGGGAGCAATTGCGCAGACTCTTTTCTCAGCTTAATCGAAGCCAGGCAACGATTTCCAGTCGAAGTTTTCAGAGGCCTGGCGCCTATTTCGCCACACCAAATGGTGGAACTCCTACTTTGTTGAGATGCCGCGTGGAGTCGCTCCTCCTTTTAGGACAACCACACGTGGAGTTTGGTGCGTCCCCATAACCGGTGGAAAAGGCGCAAAGATGCTGCGTGAGGGCCGTAGCTGGGTGCTCCCCAAATCTAATGCATCCTTGGTGCCTGCGCATCCAGGTTTCTACGGAGATTTGGAGCCTCTTCGCGCAGAAGGCCCCCCGCCCCGAGTCATTTGCAAGGAATCGATCCGTATAAGGGGGATCTCTTTAAACCATCTGAATGTGCAGGGTGCCCCTTTTAGGGGATTTTCTGGAGGGAAATTCTTCCAGGGTCGCTTGGGTTTTCTATTGCCAAAGCATCCCAAGTCTCGCTTGAAAGAGGCAAGGATCTGTTTGTTGGGTTCCTGCTGCGAGTGCAAGAGATCCATGTTCCATGCTCAAATGGCTGCAATCATTGTGGCATCGCTTGGGTTCTTGTGACAACCCCGGCCAGCAGAACGAGGCTCAAGCTGGCGCGAGGAAATTTAAGTCCATCCGAGAATTTTCGGATCCTGATGGCCGCGACTAAGTGCCTTCTCAAGTCCCTGAATGTGGAGGCAGCTTTGTCAGGAGTTGCTACCACTCCCCATGGTTTCTTCGGTTTCCACAGGCAGTTTACAACCGTCCCAACTGTGGGGATGAACCCAAACTGATTTGAACCACTTTGCTGAAGAAGGGCTGCGTTTCCCGAAGGAAGATTTGTCTGAGGGCGGCATGTTAGATCCTATCTTAATCTGCAGGGCTCAAGCATCAGAATGGGGTTGGGGACTGTGAAATCATGTTTCAATCATTAGGGGAATACTGTGTGTATGTTTTTTTCACCCCTCCCAGTGATGTCGTTCACCCGTATAGTAGGTGACGCAGGCAACCACCCTTTTACAAGCCAACAGGAAAGCTGCCGGTTGCCTGCTTTTCCGCAAACCGGGATTCGGGCTTCATATAAGCTCTCTAACACCACCCCCAAAAAAAGAGAACGAGAAAAACACAAAATCAAAACCAAAAGACATGTGGAACAGAGTCAACCATGTGTTTTTCCGTGTAGCCCAATGGGCCAAAACGGGCTAAAACCAGTTTCGGGAACCGGTTCCAGGTGCCGGGCCGCTACAAGAAGCTGCCCTCCAGGCGCCGAGCGCAGGTGGTGCGGCTCACCGTGGAGTCCAAGCCCTTCGGAATCGATCTCGACACGGTCGAGCCTTGGCTTCGACTCGGTGTTGTTTTTTTGTGTTTTTTTGTGCCTTTTGGTTTCACGTGTTTCACACTTTTCCCAAAAAGGCACAACACACCTTGAGAGGAGCAAAAAAAAGACTATGTCAGCTGTGCTGACTTGGGGGATAATCTTGTGTTTAAATGCACTGTGGTTCACATCCGAGCCCTAGTACAGCAAGCTAGAGATGGTTTCCTCTGGTTTCATTCTTCTCTTACTACGCTCTATTTAGTTTCAGTTAGAAATCAAGTAGAAATCATAAGGAAAGAATTCAGAGGTCCCAAACTCATCTGTGTTTGCTGGCCTCAGCACCACCATGGTCAGAAAGCACCGTAAAGCAGCGTTGTTGCAGCGTTGTTCATATTCAGTTCACATCTCAACCAACGGCCGCGCTCTAAACATCAGTTAGATGTTGAATAGGATTTACTCTGACGCGCTTCCCAGTCCGTGCACAGCGGTGCAGCGGACCGTCCTTTTCAGCCGGCTCTGTGGCCGGCAGCTCACAGCGGACGAGCTAGATCCGCGGCGGTCCAGATGGGCCGCCGGGACGCAAACGTGGCCCTTTTCGCATGGCCGCGATTCTGGAGTCATCGCAACCAAATCTCACACGTTTTTGGGGAGCAAAGACAAAACAGGGCGAAAGATCCAGGCCATGGCAAAGAAAGCCAACAAACCCAAAAGAACGGGAGAGTTGCCATAGGAGAGGTCTGCTCCGCAACTCTTTGGTAACTTTGTTCCAGCGTGTCACATATCGCGCGCCCAACGCCGGTAATGCGCGTTGCTGATGCGTGTAAGGCCAAAAACTGGTGGGAGCGGTTCTTGTTGGCGACAACAGCGGCAGCTGCAGAGTTGCCAGCGGCGAGCCATTCCGCGAAAGGTCAGGTGCATCGTGCTGTCAAGGTGGGCAGGAATCCACCGGACCTTGATTTGCTCATCGTTGCACGATTCAAGACAGCCAGCAATACTCTGCCAAATGTCTCTGTTTTCGACCGGGTGAAAAGGAAATCGACCAAGCTGCTGTTCCAGACCGTTAGCGACATATTGCGAGTCGGTCCAAAGGCGTATATTTCGCTGCCCCAGCTGTGCCCAATGACGGCCGAGAGAGGGTCAGTTCTGCTTGTTAAGTTGACCTATTGCCTGAATCCGACCTTGCAAAAGCCCCGACGAGAGGCAATTCGAGGTTGTGGTTGGTGGCAGGGAGCGACTGTTGAATCTGGATCTGGCACCTAGCTCGTAGCTTGCCCTTGGCTGTCATGAAGGCGCCGGTAGTTCGCGCGGTAGTCTCCCAACAGCTGAGCATGGTGAGGAGGTATTGCAAGAGATGGGTGACTCCCCATTGTGTTGCTACTGTATGAAACGAGATTGAGCAGCACGGCTCATTCCAACCCCAAGTGGTACTGGTCGGCCCAGATGCATGAAGTTGACTGCAATGCAGAACAATAGCATCATGCCAGAAGCGATCATCCATAGCAATGAATTCTCCCGTGTTCTGGTCGATAAGAGGATGCCGGCAGATTGAACGGTGAATCTAATAGGCATCGGTTGTGGTTGACAGGATGAGCTCATCGACCTCTGTGCTCGATCCTGACGGTAGCTGCCCAGCCTTGCAACTTGGTCTCTGCGAGCTGTATGAGACGGATGATGCGCGGCTGAAATTGGTCAACAATGCAAGGAGCTTGACATTGCTGTATGAGACGGATGATGCGCGGCTGAAAATGGTCAACTGCGCAGGCTTGGAATTAGTGGACACACCTGATGGGCGGGCGCAAGGAGTGGCCGCCGACGCAGAGCTCGGAGATCCAGTTGGAGATGCGCGCGAAAACCCAAATGGCCCGTAGTCGCTGCGATTTGGCCGATGAGGATCAGGGCACGTGTTGGTGGAGGCATGGAGGAGGGCCACGTGTTGAGCAAGCCTGCTTCCTTTGGATGAATGCATTTGAGCCTGCCGTTGCAGAGCTGAGAGCAGAGCCTTGAAGGCCAACTCTGGTGAGTTGAACAACGGATGCTGCTGGCATACACATGACCCGCAAGGAGTGCTGCAGGAGGAGGAGGTCAAGTTGTCGGACATCGGACCCAGGTCCTGGCGCTTGGCCGTTTCCGTGGAGTCCCACACGAGGTCAACCTCCTCTACCAGCAAGGTGAGCGCGGCGCGGAAGGAGAACGCACCACCAGCGCTTCTGGCAAGCGCAAGCCGTCGTGACAACTGTAAGGAAACCCCACTGCCCAAAAGCAGGGAACCCCGCCAGCACAGCGATGCAACGAGCGCACCATGTGGACGTCACCGATGTCCACGTTGCTATCCACCGCAAGCCGTGAGTGAGGTGCCCAAGGACCTGCTGTGCTCCGAGAGAAAGTGATGAATGGCGAGGGGCAAAGCACCACCGCGTATGAGTGATCAACCTCCCTCAGCAGGCGCTCAAAGCAACCATGTGACGTCGTAGACTGCTACAAGGGTGTCCTGCCCGAGCTCGACAAGCAGTTACACAAGGGACTGATGCCCTGAAGAACTGCAGCACCATGAGGCCCAGCCGCTACCATGAACTTGCCCACCCAGCTGATGCGACGCCCTGCGGCCAGGGTGTCGAGAGCACGATCCGTTGCGACTCTCCCGCCCTCTGCTGTCAACCCGCCACGCCAGCTGGGAGGCGTTCGGGCCGAGACTATGTTGAGTAAATTCCACAAGGGACTCGATAACGAAATACGTGTTGCGTATCCAGCTGGAAGTTGTATGAAACTTAGAGTTTAGGTAAACATTCCTTTCCCAAGGGAAGTTTACAATTTATTTCGAGTTTGCAATGGATTTTCGTTCCACAAGAGTTTCTTATGTTTCTTGACGAATAGTCCACAATTTATTCAACCATAGAACTCAGATTTCCATTCAAAGCGTGCAACATGGACACACTCACAGCGTCCGACGCTCTTTTTTAAGGCTGTGTACCCTTCTCAGTCTTGAAGGGAAACTAAGTGGACACAGAAATCAGTTTTATGGTGCTTCTAGTCATTTTGCAACACACCCTTGTGTCAAAATGAGTATCCTTGAAGAGTTTTTGGTTTCACATGTGTTTCTGTTTTGCCACAGTTGCGCATGGTGCAAGGATCCTTCTCGGGGGTCATTGAAGAATACGCGCGACATATGATAAAGATGCAAGATACACTCCCGGATTATGAATAGTGGTTCAACTGGCGTCACGAGTTTAACTGAGGTCAACGTCAGAAACTGGGGTTCATTTCCCTTTATTTTAGCCTACCACTTTGAGGGTGATTCAAAGTGAGTGGATGATGGGGTTAGCCTTCAACCTTTGAATTGTTGCTTGGGGATCAAATCATGCATGTCTTAGAGGCTGCAAAAGCTAGCCCTTTTTGTTCCAGAACAGGTCACCCTGAGCGTGTGTTTCTTTGATTATCCTGATTCTTTCAGGAAACACATAGTGTTTGGCATATCTTTCCCTTGAGAAAGCCACAAACACCAAACAACCAAAAAAAAAACTATGTCCTCTGGCCTGACTTGGGGGGGGTAGTCTTGTTTCTTTTGGTTTTCTCGAGGTTGTTTGCATTTCTTTGGAAAAATGTGGAAAACCTGGATAAAACCAAACAAAAAAAAACAAGACTATGTCAGCTGTCCTGACTTGGGGGGGGAAGTCTTGGTTTGTTTGTTTTGTTTGTTTGTTGTTGTGTTTTTGTTTTTTGTTTTTTGGTTTGCCCGAGGTTGTTTTGCATTTATTTGCAAAAGTGTGAAAACTGTGAGAGAACCAACAAAAACAAACAAGTATAACTCTATCAACTGTCCTGATTTGGGGGGTATAATATGTTTTGTTTTGCTTGTCTTGAGTTGTTTTTTGCACTGTACCGTTCCGGCCAGTTTGCAAGAGCTTCTGTGATCAAGTGTGCTGATGTACTTCACCTCCAAGCCCTAGTACAGTAAGTTAGAGATGGTTTCCTCTGGTCGCACCCGTTCCTTATTACATTATTATTTCTTCTTCTTTTTTAGAATTGTACACGTATCACTTGACAAACATATCATGTAGAGTTCGCAACAAAGAAAGTAGAGGTCCCAAACTTGAGAAACATGTTGTTTAAGTGTCTACTGATTTGCAAAAACATTTCGATTGGAAAGGATATCTTGTGTAACAGTTATTTTGAAATAGAATACTCATTATTCAATCTATACGTTAATCTTAAAATGTTGTTTGGATTCTCTCCTGATCAAATTATATTTAATGTGAGATAGGCATTAGGTAGAACTTGATGAATATATCAAGTAGAACTCACAAGGAAACAAGCCAGAGATACCGATAATGATTAATGCATGTTGTTTAGATGCTTACTGATTTTTAAGGGCAATGCTATTGGAAAGGCACTCCCGTGTAGCATTTATTTTGAATTAGAATAATCACAATTTGCAAATCTAATTTAACATGGACACTTTGATTGGAGTCTTCCCTGAACAATTTGGATTTCATCTCAGTTAAACATTGAGTACAATTCGATAAAGATATTAAGTAGATGTCAGAAGGAAAGAATTCAGAGGTCCCGAAATCGTGTTTGTTTTTTGTTTACTAGCCCTAGCACTACCATGGTCAGAAAGCACTGTAAACCACACTGGTTTGTAGCGTGTTTCGTACTCGGTTCACATCTCCACCAACGGCTGCTCTCTAAAATTCGGGTTGAAGTTGAATAGGATTTAAATGGTATTCAACAAGGAAATTCTTGATCATAATCCTACTGGATATCACATCTTACATTTAGAATTTAGAGGGAACCCTTTCCCACTAGAACATTACAACTAGGTTAGAGTTGAAGCATAACTTGACAAGGAATGAATCCAAACACCACTTCTATGCTATAACAGAAGGTCCAACAGTATGATTCTATTTAAAATGATACATTACACAGCCTGTTCTGCCCAATCGAACTTCTTTACACTTCAGCTAAGATTTAAACAAACATAGTTCAACTTGAGGTTCCACTCAAAACGTGAAAAAAAACGCCCCCGCTCTCTTTTGTTCCAGGTCCTGTTGGGAACGTGTGTGTGTGTGTGTGTGCGCGTGTGGGCTGGTGCATTTCGAGGGTTCAGGTTGGCTTACGGAGAATTTCACAGGAACACCCAAATCCGTTTTTGGGGTCCAACTCCATGCTTTTGTCCCTGCTTATGTGCTTGCAAGGAACCAGGAACAAGGGGTTAGTCTCCCTGCAGCTTTCCAACAACCAACCAAAAGTGGTCCCCGAAAATATCACACACTCACAGTTGTTTCATATGTGCTGTTCGAAACATATTTCGCTCGCAGTCCACAGGAACGGGACGGGGACGTCTATGTGGTGAAAGTGGCTCCGGATAGCCAAGCAGAGCATGCGGACATTCGCGTCGGAGATAAACTGTGGCCCGGCCATTACGCGTCCGGCACCCTTTGTCTGGTTTCCTTGCTTCGGTGTCCCTATATTTCTCGGTTTGCTGGCTTGAAATGCCGCCTTAGTCACAAGCGAGACACCCTTAATGAATGTTTTGGGGATGTGTTTGGCTTCCCTGTCTCAGGTGGATTTTTTGGTTTTCCTTGTTTTGGCAGGGGTTGCCCATATGTGCCATGTTTTTGGTGGTTTTAGACTTTAAGCATCACCTGTTTGGCGTATTTCAAATGAGGGGTCCAAATCCAACAGGAAGCGGCTCCCTTTTGCTACCTGTCGGCTTACGGACCCATTCCGGCAAAGGAAGGCGTGCCAGCGGGGTCCAACAAAGGGCACAAGCAATGGAAGTCCTGTTTCTCCCATTGGAAACCATGCAAATTTAGATTGGTGCTGGGGGTTTGAACGGCTAAGCCTAACCCAAACCACTCACAATTTGAGGGTATCACTCCAAAGTTTTTCGCTGGTTGACATCATCTTGTTGTGTCTCAGTAGGGAATGACCCAGGATGTTGGGAATGAACCTAGGGCTTCCCTTAAAGGTCATTCCATTTCTCATTCCCTGCCTATCGCACCGATCGTAGGTGGAGTGCCGGAGGTCGCGCGATTCACGGAGCAGAGCAAGTGAAGGCTATTGCACACCTGGAGCCACCTTTCAGCCTCACATTCCAGCGGAATTGCTGAGCAAGGCGTTTTGAGCCGAAGCCGGAAGTTCAGAATGGCCAGCTTCTAGTTCTGGTTTCTATGGCCCCTACATCATTACGTTAGAGCAAGGCTCTGTTGGTGACTCAATATTCCCTCAGGTCCTTCCGGCATAGGACAGATTCCCGGGTCTTGGTTAGGACTCAACAAATCTATTGGCCGTCGGGAAGGTCCCCGTGGCGTTGGCATCAGCCGTCGAATGCTACTGTACAGTCGAAGATCAGGGTGTCTCCCATGCTCAGATTGACCATTCGCTTCCCATCGGAAGGGAGCACCCTGATGATTTCATGTACGTGCTCTAAGTTGTTGAGGTTTCAGCCTGAGGTTTTTTGTGCTCAGGCTGGCTCAGCTGGCAGGACTTGAATGGGTACAGGTGCGACGCCTCCTTCCCATGTATTGAGGGACCACCTGCCTGGGAGGTCTTTGAAGCTGACCTTTCGCGATGTCGCCACATCAAACATGACTTCCATTCCGAATCGCAGAACGGCCGGCTTCAACCACTGTTGGTTCTGACATGCTCCACAAGCAAGTCGGTTCAACAGACTTTCAGACCCAGAATCAGTCTGCACAGCCTACACAGTTGCAGCACCAGAGGTGTCTGTACAGTTGTGCATCGCTAGACACAGCTTTTAAATAAGGCTGAGAAAGCTGAGAAGTTTGTAGTCGTGAACCTTGGCAAGGCGAGTACGGAACAAGTCCGAAGGGGAGCTAGGCGTTTAGGGAATGTCCAAAAATGCATGGAGTCCTTTCATGTCCCTTGAAAGCTATCCCGAAAGCGTGGGAGCTTCCCATAGAATTGTGGTTGTCCTTTTGGTTTCGCTCACCCAGGTGAAAGGGGCACCTGAACAAAAACACCATCCCATTTGCTGAACCGCCTTGATTTCGGTGGTCCCACGCAGGTGGCCGCAGTGGACATCTTCCTCGCCCCAGAGGCTTTTGGTCGCAGTCGGCCGGCTTTTGGTTCGCGGGTCTGGGCAGAGACGAAGGAGCTCGCTCACCTGCTCACCCAGGGTCCTTTCCTGGGAGAATCCTACCCTTTCCAGTTCTGGCAGTAAATTGCTCAGGTGAAATTCCGCCCTGAGTCCAATCTACTCTGACCGGGTTTTGGACCGAGAGCAGATCTTTTAAACACGTGGATGCCTGCTCAGAAGGGGGCAACAATGTGTATCCCATTTCATTTTTTCCGCAAATCTCCCGAATTGGATACCGTTCGCAGCTTCATACTTAGGACAAGACTCCAAAACAGGTGGTGTGTGTGTGTGTCTTCATGAATAGAGCAGACGGTCTGAAAGTTGCAGTCTCGCAGGCTGAAGCACGTCTACAGAAGCGGAAGAACGTGCGGCTCTACACAGGAAACCACCATGAATCGAGTGGTGACAAGCCCACTTGCCATGGAGCCACAGTTCTTTCTTGTTTGACGCATTCAGTCAGTGTCCTCAGGAGGTTCACCACGAGGTTTCCGCATGGAACTTGTCGCTGGGGGTTGACAGGTGCGGGATGTAGGACCCAAAAACATTGAACTCTGTAAGGAGTCTGAGAGAACCGAGTTAAGGTTGATTCGAAGAAGAGGAGTTGTTTCAGTTTTTGCATATGCCTTCGAGCCATGTCGGCTTTGCAACAAGGGTGTCTTTTCCTTGGCATGTGGGTCCAGTTTACTCCCACCCAAAAAGCGGAACCCGAGCTTGAAACGGTTGCAAGCTGCTGTTCGCGAGACTGGAGAGTTCAGTTCCCTTTGGGCCGTGGGTTTCGGAGACATCAAAACCGTTCCGGGTGGAAGGTTGGTAGGCAGTCCCAAGCAGACTTGGAACGGCAAGCCGCCCATGGAAGCTCTACATGGTTTGGGGTGACTCCTTTATCAGCCTTTTGTCTTCAGGACGTGAGATGTGAGTCAAGAGCATGTATGCGTTTGCTACCAGGAGACGGGCGCAGCCTCTTGCGGGAAGCTTGGAGCGCCAAGTTTGGCTCAAGCTCGGGTTGTACCAATCAGGACTTCGGGGCTTTTTGAGCAAAGGGTCAACTCGTGAATCAAGTGAGTATCACACGAACCGCCAGGATATGGACCAGACGTTGTGGTGTGCACGCCCCTTTTCCCTATGGGGCAAGCTATTTTGGGGTTACCCATGGAGCCTGAGGCCTGAGCTGCTGGCCGAGACCCGGAAAGCAGCTGCCGGGGGCTGAGCGAGCAAGGCTTGGCCACGCTTGATTGCGGCTTGGGATAATTCCGATTGTGGGGTTTCCGAAACAAATCCAGATGCAACAACCACTCTGTGGGAATATAGTTTTCTATAGATTTGTTTAGTGGACCCACACGAAATTGTGGTTCTTGGTTTCTCTTTGAACCCCCTCAAACACAGGTACCCTGGGAAAGAAGGCGCACCCATATAATTAGCCACCATTTGGGGATTTTCAAGCTTCTCCCCGGTGTTCCCTGACTTTTACCTGCTGCAAGATCTTTCCTTGGGTCACGAAAGAAATTAGTACCGTTGGTATCCCTGTGATTCTGAATCTGATTGGCCAGCCTTGGATCTATTCCCCACCAATGGTCAACCCTCTTGGGTCCCCTTTTTCTTCCGAAAGCGAATCGACCTTTTGACCTGTTGGTTTTCTTGTTTTTGTTTTTGTTTTTTTTTAGTCATGGCCCCAAAAGGTGAACCTGTGATTTCCAGCTCCTCTGGGCAACCGAGAACCGCTTGCAACTTCCTCGTCCAAAGCTCAGGTCTTCATCGATGGGCCCAAGGGTGAGCTGGCCATCCACTTGGCCTTGAGCTTGCAAAAGCTCCCCCAGGCCTTGGAAAAGAAACCAGTTGCCGTATGTGTTTTTCTTTGCGTGTGTGTTTCTGTGTTTGTTGGTTTCTTTTAGTCTATTTGATTCTTGTTTTTGTTTGTTTGGTTCATGTGTTGTGTTTGTTGCGGGGGGGGGGGGGGGGGGTTCCTGTGAAATCAACCAACAAGCAGAAGGTGTATTTTGCCGCTGGAAACACATTGAGATTATGAGGCGGTGTCCAGGACTTGGCAATGATCCGTTTGAGTGGCTTTGAGAAGAGTCAGGCTAACCCGAAGTTGACATTGCAGTCCCTCCAGTTTGAACAGCGAATGAATTTGCAGCTGTTGAATGCTAGGGACACCCAAAGGAAACCAACCATTTTTAGGCTTATATATATATATATACAGTTTGCTCAGTCGCCCACTGGTAATGTCCAAATGGGATTAAACATTGCACCCGTAACAAAGACAACTGGGGGGCCCAAAAGAATTAATAAATGCACCTGAAATAAAGACAAGCCCCTGCCCCCCCCCCCCCTGTCCCCCCGCCCATGAAAAAAACATGTCCCAACAAAACGTCACAAAAAAGTCACACACAAAAAGAGAGAAAGAGAGAAAGGACAGGAAGGAGAGCCGAGATAGCCACCCCCTGGTCCTTGGATCTTTGGCACCTTGCTCTTGTATAATAAAGTCTTGCTGCATGCCCCCCCTGAAAGATACAACTTCCTCAATGCAGTTACCTCTTAGCCCACTCAAGCCCACGAAGGTAAATTTTATGCCCAAGACTTTATTCCAGGGGCCCTTACAATAAATCAATTGCAAACTCAGTTCCAAATCTCAAAAGGAAGCTCCAGCAATACTAAATCAAATGGGAACTCAGTTCCAAATCTGAAAAGGAAGCTCCAGCATTACTAAAGTTCCAAATCTCAAAAGGAAGCTACTAAAGTTCCAAATCTCAAAAGGAAGCTCCAGCAATACTAAATCAAATGGAAGCTCAAGTCTACCAATACTAAATCTAATGGAAACTCACCTCAAGATACTATTCCACATGCCCCCATCGTTGAGGGGGGGGGGGCTCCCGTTTACTAATGCACATTGGACATGAATCCCTTGACCTTTTAGTTTTCCTGCCCTGAAACAGGAACTCAAGTAGACAGTCCAATGAAAGGTGCGCAAGAACCGTACATGTGACTCTTTGCTATGGGTTTGGGTATACTCCTTTCAGGTGTCGCTGTTCCGATTTTGGTTCAATCGGTGGCCCCAAAATAGGGGAAAACTGTTGGTTCCACCTCAACGCCATGCAACCAGATGGTTCATTTCTGGGCATACCTCTTCGTTTGATTCTGCCTCAAGTTGGACCGGACCTTGCTTTTAGACTACTTGTTACTTGGTGGCTCCCAGCCATCCGGTTCCTTAGCCTTTCAGCTTTTTAGTGTTTAGTGTTTAGTGGTTGGATTTCTATTTCACCCACTAAAAGTCAAGCTTTTAGCGGGGGACCTGAGGACAGCCCAAATTGGTGCCAGAAAATCCATCTGAACTAAACCACCCCCCTAAATTCCACGAGAGGGGATTGATCTAGGTCTTCCTTTGGGGCCACTGGGTTTCAGATCTGCGGCTTTAGACCTTTCGCAGGTGGCCTTCGTGGCCATGCACGACATGGGCCCCTACCGCCGTGCGCCGATCGAGAGGGCGGACATCGAAGGGTTTTTATGCCAAAAGGGCGAAGCCTCCCCTTGGACTGGGTGAATTACGACCTCACACCAGCTTATCCCAAATGGTGGGTTTATGGGAATAGCCCCCCAACCACCTGATTTCAGGTTGGTGAAATATCACAATTCACCCGGATTGGACAATTGGACTGAACTTTGCCTTCGTTGCAAAGGTCCGGGTTGAGAGCAGAAGTCAAGGTTGATGGGGTCCTTTTCGTTGGACCTTGCGGTAGCCTTTTGTTTCAAATCCTGCACCAGTTGCTGGTTTATCCCAGAATTGGGGTTCATTCCAACTGGAGGATTCTGGGACGCGCTGTTTCTCGTTTGAGGGACCTGCAAATACGACCAGTGTGAGACCTATGCCAGGGGAGCTCAAGCGTCTCGGCGCCTTCTTCTTCTCGGATGAGGAGTGGTTCCAGGCATCCGGGTCCACGAGGTTTTCCTGCGCGATGTTAGGAAACGACCATCAACCAACGAACCGACCGAGCAACCAACACAGAAGCAGCCACCCAAGCAACCAACCAAAAAACCAACCAAGCAAGGAGATGTCCAAGTATCGTAGCCAGAAAACCCACAGATGCTGCCAGTCGCCTGCCCCAGGCCACTTATGGGCATTTGGACGCGCCTTTCTTGCAGCGCCCAGATTTGGAAGCTGGAGGACGAAGCGGGTGCGACAACTAAGTCTCAGACCATGTGTGGTTTAGGTTAAAGCGTATTTGCTCAAAACAAATCGACGTCACTTTTGCAGGTTGATCCATTGGCGCGGGAACCGTCTCCACCATTTTCCCGGATCACCTTGCAGGAACTATGGCCTTCCTGCCTGGCACGGACGCATGAAAAGGAAATTGATAGATTCGATTATAACAGTATGTCGCTGGTGTAAATATAATTCATTTTTGTTTGTATGTGTTTATCGTTGTTCGTTTGTATTTGTGTGTTTTTTTGTTTATTTCTTCTTTTTTTTTTTTTTGTTTGTTTTTTTTTGTGTTGTTCTATGTTTTTGTTTTTTGATTGTGATTGTGTGTGATGTTATGTTTGTGGTCGTTTGGTTTTTGTATTTGTTTGTGTTTATGAATTTTGTTGTGTTTGTATTTGTTTATTTTGGGATTTATATATATTTATATTTATATAATTATTATATTATAGGTACATTTAGAATATATTTAATATGTTTTTATAATTTGATTGTTTTATAATTTTTGATTGTTTAAATAAGTAAATAAATTATTTATTATTTATATAATTTAATATATAATTTTAGATATTTTATAAAATATATATTATTTATTATAAATCGATTTTTTTTATTAAAATAAATTAATTTGAATATTTAATAAATTTATTATACTTATATAAATAATAATTTTTAATTGGAGATTTATTATTTTTTAGCAATATACGAAATGAAAAATCGATAATAAAAAAATAATAACATTAGAATATAATTTAATTTTATAATTATAGATATAATTTTACTATTATATTAAAATAAACAAATATTTGATAAAGTATTATTTTTGAATAATTGGATAATATAAATGATTATGATGTTAAAAATTTTGTTTTGGATTTTGATGAAAAATAAAATATGTCGAAAGATATTATATTATATTAAATGTCTATAAATGAGGTATAAATAAAATTTCTTAATAATATTTTAATATTGTCTTTTAAAGTACTACGATATACAAAATAACAATATGTTTTAGGTGCCTAATACTAATATATAATTATTTAATTAATACAAAATAATTATCTAAAATCTATTTCCATATATACTTATTACAATAATTCTAAAAAATATATATTCCAAATATAAATAAAATCGAATTAATTTCGTTCAAAATATTATTAATTTTCTTATACATATTTCAAGCATAATAACCAACCAAATTATGTTTTTAATCTCTCAAAAAACCTTTTTTCATGTATACCTTTATTCCATACAAAGCCATGCCAATACAATGTTAATCAACCTAAAAATTTCATTCTATTCATTAAAAAAACAAAACAAAACAAACATTATAAATCAATAACCTCTATTTCTAAATTATTCAAATTTAAAATAATCCAACCTATACAATTTAAAATGTAATATAATAAACCTTACTCTTAAATTTCTTATCCATCTAACCATAATAACCTTCTCATTCCATAAAAATCATTATATTTCTTTAATAACATAAAATAAACCTTAAATAAATTTTATATCATAATAATCAAATTATACAATATCAAATAATTCATAACATAAATAAATTATACCTATATTATAAATAAAATAAAAAAAACAAATAAATATAAAATAATAATCAAATAAATTATACCTATATTATCAATTTGAAATAAATAAATAAATACAATAAAGAACCAAACACATAAACAAACAACAACAAAAAAAAAAAGAAAAAAAAAAAAAAAACAAAAACATAAATACAATCACACAAACATAACCACACAATCACACAGCCACACAGCCACACAGCCACACAGCCCACACAGCCCACACAACCCACACAACCACACAACCACACAACCACACAGCCACACAAACACACAGCCACACAGCCACACAACCACACAGCCACACAGACACACAAACACACAAACACACAAACACAGACACACAAACACAAACAACCAAACACAAACAAACACAGACAGACAGACAGACAGACAGACAGACACACAGACACACAAAGACACAGAGACACAGAGACACAGAGACACAGAGACACAGAGACACAGAGACACAGAGACACAGACAGACACAGACACAGACAGACACAGACACAGACAGACACAGACACAGACAGACACAGACACAGACAGACACAGACACAGACAGACACAGACAGACAAAGACACAGATACCAGAGACAGAGAGACCAACAGACAAAGAGAGACAGAGAAAGACACCAACACAAAAACAGAGACAAAAAGAGACACACCTCCGGCGCGCAGCGCGCCGGATTCTGATGTCAACATGTGACAGGCTTCGCCTGCGCACGTGCACGCGTCCGACTCCCAGCCCGAGAGCCGTGATGCAGACGGGCTGCAAGAACGCGCGTGCGAGCTCTCGGCTGCGTGTGCCCCAGTTGCACACAACCGCTGGCCGCTTGTCCCCTGGCGCCCACGCCCAGTGGAGCGAGCCAGTGGGAAACGGTTTGTCACGCGCTTGTCTCGGCGCTGCCCCGCCGCTCCGGCGGCCAGGAGGTGGTTGCAGGACTGGGCACCCCGGGTTACTACCGGCCCGGTTTGGATTGGTAGTTTGGATCGGCGTTTTGGAGGTTAGGGGGATCCAGGGGTTCAATCCCCAAACCACCAATCCAAACCAGCAATTAGGGGTAAGTTGAGGCGGGTGCCACAAAAGGGCCAAGCTCTCAGGGGCCAAGATTTTATAGAGCCACATTTTCGTTGCAACTCAGGCACCAACATATTTTGTCATCTCATACGTGTCAACAAATGTATACTCGTCGCATGCGAAAAGCCTGCTACCGTTCTCCAAATACAGGTCGTGAGATGCACTGAGGGCCGGGCTGGTCGCGATAAGGTCACGCAGAGTCAGTGAAAGGCGGTCGCCTGAGCAAGGTGAGAACGGATCCGCGGGCTATTGGCCTCAAAAGGTCCATCCACACACGCAGTTGTTGCAAGCGCAAGCGAAAACGCGATCGACCAGACAAATGCCCCGACTCTTCATCTGGAAGATACCGGCTTCGTTCAACGGCTACGGATAGGGAGATATATGCCTAGACTCTTGATCTAGAAATCTCCTTTCCTATCAATGATTCACTCACCTACAATTCTAATATTCTTGGTTTAATTGTGTGTCATGGCTGGGCCGGAGGCTGGAGACAAGATGGGGAAGGAATGACAGAGGAATGACTGGGGATGTAGAGTCTTATTTGGGTCCACTTTGTGTCCATCATTATCCACTTTATCTCTGTTGGTCATCATGTGTTTATTAGTGACTGAATAGAAAGGCTTGGAAGGAGAGAGTGAGGGGCCATTCGTTTCTCATCCATCATTATCCTCTATTCTGGATTGCACGGAAGGAAGCGAGTGAAGGGAGCGGAAGTGGATAATGGATGAGGCACGAATGAAGGGAATGATAAAGGCGAGAGCCATCTCTTTTCACCCATCCATTCTACCTTCGTAGGTCTGGTGTGTTCATGAGCTTCGCTCGGGCTCATCCACTGGACGGAGGAGAGTGGCAGCCCGGACGTGTCTATTCCTTCTCTCTTCCCTGTTCACCTTCCTGTTGACTCATCCTTCCTCAACTTCCGGTCGGTTCAAGAGATTGGGAATGATAAGGCACGGCTGGCCGCTATCTCATGAATCCGTTCACGGTCAACCTCTTCTTACCCCATCACCTCCAAGATGGGAAATGGTAAGGAGAGATAGAATGCTTGTCTTTTTCATTCACTATTCACTCACTTCGTTCCTGGGATTTACAGGAGCTTACGAACGCTGGCAAAGACCAAGAGAGGTAAGTAATGGAAAAGAGATGGCATTCCTTCTTACCAGCTCTTGACGTAGGAATTAACAGCTTACAACATAAAATGGAGAATGAATGAGAGAAGCGAATGGACGGTGAGATAATCCTTTTTGCTCTCTTCTTTCTCTTTTCCTTTCTTATCACTCATTCTGGTCTATCTATATCTTCAATAATATTCACCTTGGGAATTAGAAAGGAACATCAATTAAAGAGAAATCCAAATAAAGAAATGTAATGAATGAAAAAGATGGGAATAGAAAAAGCAAATTAATACAAGAATTTCTGGATTTTAAGTGAATTCCAATGCTTCCTTCACTGTCGTAACGACCTTACCGTTCTCTACCTCACCCACATTACACTTCCAGAGACCAGATAAGGCTTAGCCGGAGGCTGGAGGAAGCTGTTAACGTCAGGAACCGACCGGAATGATAGGGAGGTGGACAGGTAGGAAGGAATAGATGGTGAAGGAAGGGAATGGATGGGTGATGAATGAGAGGCTATGCAATGGAAAAGAGATGCCTCTCACTGACACATCACCCATCACCCATTCCTTCTTCCTTTCCTTTCCTATGCTTTTCCTCTCTTTACCTCCCACCTCTTCCATCGGTTAGCGAGGTGACGAGAAAAGCGAAAGGGAAGAGGAAAGGTGATATGCTGTGGGGTCCCTCCAATCTTAGGCATTACATGGGAAGAAGTGACCCCACATGCTCTTCTTTCATTTCCCTCTCCCACCTCTGTGTTTGGAGGTGATAGGGAGAGGAAGCCCATTCATCACCTGGAAAGAGCGAGGGAAGCAATGAGTGAGTGAAGAGACAGTGAGGAATGGCATGTCCTTCTTTTCCTATCATTTTAATTCCCTTTATTCTTAGCTTTTGGATTGGGAATTAAAAGGAAAAGAAAAGGACATGACCCATCCCTTCATGCCTCACAGAGAAGACTGAGAGGCGGGATGGGTCACTTTGGGATGGTCATGTCCTTATCACTCACTTCATCTCCATTCATTCGTTAGGCCATGTCCATCTTCGTTCATAGGATGGAGGAATGGACGAAGGAAGGAATGGGAAGGGGTGACATGACATCTTCTCCAAATTCATTTCTTATTAGTGATGTCATGTCCCTTCTGTATCTTGTCCTACCTGTTCCCTCTCCGTCATTGACAAGACACGGAGAGCAGGTAGGTGACAATTAAGGATGGTAGAGCTCAGAGAGCGAGGCAATAAGATATAGAATTTGAACGGAGAGAAAGGACGTTCTCCACCTACCACCTCGCCTCCGTCGACGGATGGAAGAGCGGGGCCTGACCAGAAGACACAACGACTTCGTTCAAAGCCTGGACCAT